TAAAACTTTATAATCACATCTTTTTTATGTAAAACGAACCGTGTGATTATAGAGAGGATGACTATATTCGCAGAATTCAAATAAAAAAAAAATAATAATTGGTTATTGAGAAAAATCACGACTTAAAATTTTTCTAAATGACAAATTTGATTGGTTAGATATTTTGTTACACGGAAAATTAACGCGTAGCAACGCGATGTTTTGTTTTCATAATATAATTATCCCCCATTTCTTTGTAATTAATATTCACGTGAGAATAAAATTTAAGGTATATATAGCACCCCTATAACAGATTTCCAGTGATTATTACATTGATACCCAAAAAATTTTTTGCCCTTGTAGTCGACATATTTTTTCTTTTTTTGTTTCGAGTATGTCTCCATCGCCTCAACACGAAGAATATCAATATCTCAACCTTGTTAAGCACATAATTGATCACGGTCAACGTCGCGATGATCGTACCGGCACTGGAACAATATCTGTTTTCGCGCCACCACAACTACGATTTTCTTTACGAGATAATGTTTTTCCACTCTTAACTACCAAACGTGTCTTCGTGCGAGCAGTTATCGAAGAATTACTATGGTTTATTAGAGGTGATACCAATTCGAACCACTTAACTGAAAAGGGTATTCATATTTGGGATGATAACGGTTCACGTGAATACCTGGATAGAGTTGGATTGTCTCATAGGAAATCTGGAGATCTGGGCCCCGTTTATGGATTCCAATGGCGTCACTTTGGTGCAAAGTACGTTGATTGTGATGCAGATTATACTGGTCAAGGTGTTGATCAGCTTCAAGAAGTCATTAATAAAATTAAGAACCAACCAAATGATAGACGCATTATTTTAAGCGCTTGGAATCCTGCTGGTATGTTAAAAAAAAAATTAGTTGATTTTTTTTGATCAGAATTTGATTTCAAATCATCACATGATCATTGACTTTTTAGACTTAAAGGAAATGGCATTGCCTCCATGTCACATGTTTTGTCAGTTTTATGTGTCAAACCCGGATCCTAAAACGCATACGCGAAGCCTTTCAAGTATTCTCTATCAACGTTCTTGTGACATGGGTCTCGGAGTTCCTTTCAATATTGCAAGTTATGCACTTTTGACAAGAATGATAGCTCATGTTACAGGCCTTTTACCGGGTGAATTTATTCACACTATGGGTGATGCACATATCTATTTTGATCACATAGACGCGTTAAAGGTGCAACTTGAGCGAGAACCAAGAGCATTTCCTCAGTTAGAAATTAAACGTAAAATAACAGATATTAATGACTTCAGGTTAGAAGATTTTGAGATAATTGGATATCAACCATACGGGAAAATAAAAATGAATATGTCTGCTTAAGTGTCTATAATCAGAATTATTTCAGGAAATTGTCAGATGGCACATTTATTTGTTAGCTTTGGTTATATATATATTAGCATCATTTTTTTTCGTGTCATGATTGGTTTTATTTTTTATTTTTATTTTTTTTAAGTGTAAATGTTCATGAAATGTAATAAAAAAACTGCTTTAAATTTAAAAGACTAGTGAGAAAAATGCATGCAATTACAGATTAGAGTTGCGACCCAAATAGTATTTACTAGGTTTCGCAAACTGCCCCTAATTTGCCGTAATGTCAAACATTTCTGACATATAATTTTTATTACGGCTAGAAATCCCAAACTAGATAGCTGCGCGACGTCCTCGCGCAAAACCAGGAACGGAATATTTAAACAAAATAGAGATTAAATTTAATAAAGACCAGCATTTATAATATCTCATTTTATTGGTCAAGGATTTTAAGGTTTGTTGAAGAAATTAAATTTATGCGGAATTTTGTTCTTTAGCTGATCTTAAATCCTTGACTAAAAAACTTGGTATTAGGCAGGGATTACTTAATAACTTATTATAGTAATATTAAACTTTTTAGTAATATTATTAAGAATTAGTAAAAAGAAATAGTATCGTAAAGGTATATATATGGTTAAGTCAAATTGATTAGTAGGATGGTAAAAGTGGTGGGTTGTAATGGTCAAATTTTGTTGAATAAAAAGTTTATGACCATAACTATAGTGATAGAAGTATGCAGGACGGTGCTGCTCACTTCACCGACATCACATAGGGTTAAGTTTAGCTTTTTATTAGTTGCATGCATATATTTTTAGTAAATTGTTATTTGGTGTGATGTCGGCTAAGTGAGCTTTTGGTGAAATGATTGTCGAAGTATTCATGTAGGATGTGGAAATGTTTTGAAGATGAGAATAAATGCGATATACGTAATATAACTTATCGGAATAAGCGTAACCTTGAATTTGCTTACATTGGTTATGTCATCGTTGTTATTGGATGGTAAATATGGCGCTATTCTCAAGTTTTTGTGCATTGGTGTTCCATTATTTGAGTTCAATTGTGAAAACGAACGTCACAATATCATGTGATTAATGTAAAAAAATAGAATCGCGGTATTGGTATTGGAATTAAATTTGAATTAATAATGACGTTGATTAAAGTTTAATTAATTGTTGCGTTTTAATATAAAAAGGGTTTTTGATTACTAATGGCAACTCTCTCTCTCTTTTTTACTTTTTACAGAAAGCGAAAAATATAAAGGCGATAAAGTCACGGGGACAATGGAATTTTCTAACGATCTTATTTAGAATGAAATTATTATTTAAGAGGAACAATTAGGGCAGTGACAGATATTACGTAATATTCTAGGGGGGGGTACCTAGAGATGATATTATATATATATTTTATATATGATCATATATGACGTGGGGGGAGGGGGGTA